CGGGAAGGTGAGCATCATAGAATGCCAATTTAATAGAAGAAAGTATTCTTGCATTGAGGGAGTACTTGAGTGGAGGCCCAATGTCCTTCTGCTTCAGGTACTTTAAAAAAAAAATAGACTCAGACCCTACTTTTTGCTTGGCCACACAGGTTCTTATGGAAAAAAATAATGAAGAACAGTTATCCACAGACTAAAGAGTATTCCAAATGAGGCAAGTGCTAGATGAGAGTCAGCAAGTCTAAAAAGGTAAGAACTCTGAGTTGATTTCCCATTTTTACTGCAGTTGGCCTAAAAACAAGTCTAGCCTTCATCTTATCAATTGGGGATAGTGAAGACTCTGATACAAAACCTTCAATCTTACTGGTTGAAGAACCAGAGAACAGAATTCAAGGCAATGATAGCTGCTGGAGAATAAGGGTAAAATTCTAAAAAGGAGACAGCAAAAAAGGGTACTTAAACCCTATCCAAATCTCGAATTGATATTTATAGACTATTGTATCCACCAACTGCAGTATGTACATTTTTTCAAATGCACACTATACCATCACCAAGAGAGACCACAGACCATAGAAGAAATCTCAATAAATTATAAAGGATTTGAATCATAGAGAATGTGTTCTCTGACCACAATGGTATTAAATTACCAACCAATAATAAGATATCCAGGAAATCCCATTCAATAAAAAAAAAAACAACACTTTTAATCCATGACTCAAAGAAGAAATTTCAAGGGAATTTAGAAATTATTTCTAACTGAACAAAAATGAAAATCCATCAGAATTTGTGAGTTGCAGCTAAAGAAGCCCTGTTTAGAGGGTGTGACAGGCTAAGTTGTCTAGAGAAGCCAACTTAGACAATTCCTATATGTATAAGAAATAACTTGATATGGAAGTAATTTATATTAATAGTGTGTCCCAGCCCAGTACAACCCAAGTTCATGGGTTGGATACTAGTTGGAACCCTCTTCAGACTCACGTGGCTGAAGGCCACTGATGCAGAAAGGTGAAGTGGGGTGCAGGAAGATCACCAGTTGGTCATGGATCTGAGGTCAGTGGAACAAGCACCAGCAGCTCAGAGGTTGGCTCCCGGGATGGAGCTGCCCATGGAGGCAGACAGAGTCCCAGCGAGGAAGAAGGTGAAGGACCAGAGAGAGGAAAGACGTTCTCAGTATCTCTTATACAAAGGCCACATCTCCAAGGAAGCCTCATCGGGCTGAGTGACTGATAGGTGGGACTCCATGGACTCCACCCCTGCACTTTCACACAGGTCCTAGCTGATAGAAAATCTACCTGCCACAGAGGGTAGAGCCCAGCTTTAAAGGCTTACATTAGAAAAAAATAGAACCCTCTAAAACCAGTAACCTTAAGTTCTACCATGTGAAACAATGAGCAGGAGAGCAAACTAAACCCAGAGTAAGTAGATAAGAAAATAATGAAGAGCAGAAAAGCAATAAAGTAGGAAGTAGTCATATTATGAAGAAAATCATCAAAGCCAAATGTTGATTCTTTAATATCAGTGAGATTGGTAAACCCCAGTTTGAAATGAGAGAACTGTCAGTCTCAGGAGTCAAAATAGAAATGATGTGTTATCTCTTCTATAAATCTAAAGAGATCTTCCATAGAGTCTCTTAAAGATTCTACAGCCACTAAAGCAGTGGTTC